TGCTTTTCTAGACCTAGACCACTGGCTGCATCCTGTGGTACAATGATGATAAGTGTGGATGTGCTTGATATATTCCTGCTTTTCAGTGAGGAAACATTCCATCTTTTAGTTTTGAGCTGTTGATAGCTATAGATTTTCATTAAGTTTTTAAAATGTATTTTAAGAAGTCCTATTTGGTCCTAAGATGTCAGCACTTTCATTATGTATAGGAGTTAAAATATGTCAAAATATTTTTCTGCACTTACTGAGATGGCTGTGTTTCCTCCTTGCTCTGCTATATGTTAAATTTTGGTAATTGGCATTTTTTTAAATATCCAACTAACCTTGCATTCTTGGAATAAACTACTTGGTTGTGACTTATTCTCATTATATACCTTGCTGAATTTGTCTTGATATGGCAGTCTTCAGAATTTTTGCATCTATATTGTGAGTATTTACTCTTTACTTTCTTACAATTCTATTTTTCTAGTTTATGCATGAAAAGAAGAGTGATATCATCATAAAATGAACTGGGAGATTTTTCCTCTTCTATTTTTTTTAAAGAGTTAGAATAAGATTGATTTTACTTCTTTACCAAATGTGTGATAGACTTTTCCTTAAAGTCATCTAAGTTGTAAATTTTTTGTGAAAAATATTTTAACTATGAATCCTGGGTTTCCTTGAAGTTTCATAGCTGCTACAGCTGTGCATTTTCTTACCCCTGCCAAAGATACACACATGGTATCTTTTTTTTAATCTATCTCCTACATATTACAGAAATGCTCCTCATACGAGAATAAAAAAGAAAGCATGGAAAAGAGACGATACTGAGATTTCAATAGACACTCAGCACAAATAAAATACGTAAATTGAGAGATAAAAGCCTCTCTTCATATTATTGATCTACTTCAATGACTTGCAAGATCAAAATAAGTCATGTGACCTCCTGTTTTAGGGTTCCCCAAGACCTCCGTCAGGCTTGAGGACTAGCTAGGACTAACATAACTCAGAAAACTTGTTACATTCACTGCATTATTTCTTGCTGTGAAAAGCTATAGATTAAATTGGCCAAGGGAAAAAGCTCACAAGGAGTGCAAGAGAAACCAGATGCAAACTTCCATTTATCCTCTTCCCCGTGGAGTTACCCAGACAGTGTTTAATTCTCTCACCAGCAACATGTGACAACATACAGGAATTAAGTGTTGCCAAACAGGGAAACTCACCCAAGTCTCACTGTCTAGAGAATTTAGTGAAAATTAGTCACAAAGGAGTGCAACACTTGCTTAACTAACTTCAGCTACCCAGGCTAGAGCCCCCAGAAGTAAGTGGATATTAAATAGTTCAAATATTCAGGCATACATAAAGAGATACTTCTTCAAAATCGTTCTGCTGGTATGAACCAAGTGGTCTGACCCGAGACCTCGGGCAAACAGACTCTGTTATCAGGGAGGCTGCTCCAGGCCTGAGAAGACCATCTCCTAGGAGCCAGCCCTAAGGACTATGGGTAGGCTCAGGGGTTCCAGGAGCTCAAGCCTGCTAGTTAACCTCTTCCTGCCCACTTCCCTAAGTTTGCACTTTCTTATCTCTGAAAGGGGACCAATTGTAAATAACAAAGTGAATTGTGCGTATAGCAGGTGCCTGAAGAATGGCCAATAAGGAGTCAATATTTACGTGGTGGAAAAGTAAAAAAGTAAAAGAATCTATATATTTACTTTATACTTTCTATATACTTACTTTGTACTTATATTCTTTATACTATATTCTTACTTTATACTTTCTATACACTTTATACTTTATACATTCCATATACTTTACTTGAAAAAGTAAAAGAATCTGCATAGGCTTTCCAACAACTGTGTGGGTGGTTGGTTTTAGAAAGTAACCAGATAATCAATTGACTCCCACCATAGAGTATTGTCTGCTCAGTGCAGTTACCCAGATATACGTTATTGGCACTTAATGCAAAATGGTATGCGATTTGCCTTTTCGAGTAGAACTTTACTTTTCAGTGTAGATTCACACACTTGCAAATACTCTGGACAAGGGTACTTAGCTGTAGAAGTGCAGATCAGACTGAAAAGCCGCGCAAGGTTTCCTTGCTGGCCACAATCTTCATCTGTCTTGGGACTTTTTATTTTTTACACTTATATTTAGAAGAGCTGATTGCAGCCTTGTCACCATTGTTATCTCCATATTACAGAGGAAAAATTAGTCATTTAGATGGTGGTGGCTGAATACATTATCAAGATTACTGTGACCATTCTAAATATTTACCATACTACCTCTAATTATTATTCCATTGACCATAAAATGTATAGCTCACCTAGTGAAACCGTGTGTGCTACCCTATACTGAAACATCTTGACTTGGAATAAGAATCCACAGCAGATAATTTATTTTTAATTCCATGAAAATATTCTATGCCCACCAATCAACTTCCAAAAAGCTACAGAGGTGTTGCTCAGATCCTCTGCTACTTATTTTAGAATTAAAGCCATTAGCTCTGGATATTAGATCCTCACAGGAGATAGGAGGGATTACCTCTAATCATAGGCAGTATAAATTACCATGTGTGCTGATGGCATTTTAATGTTCATAACAAATCCAGATAAATCTCGGTTGGCTTTGTTGGATGTACTCGATTAATTTATGTAATTGTCAGCATATAAAATTAACAGTGAAAATCTGGTCAGATACTAATAAATGACATTTACCTAAAGCAACTGATCACTTGCCTGCCTTTCCCTCAGAAACTACTTGGGGGTACAAGAATTTAATGTCAAGAACTATTTAATCTTAACAAAATCACAAATATTGAACATAAAATCAAGCAAAGGTCTATAAACAGCAATTTCTTGGCAGATCATATTTGCCTGAATTTCATGTCTTTTGTCCATATAGCCTCCTCTCCTTTTCTTTCTCATATGGAGGTGCTACTCCAGGCTTTTCTTACCTGAACACTATCGATCTTCTCAAAATATTTGTCTTTATAGGGCACATCATGAGCAGTGGAGTGGCAATTTTTATAAGCTTCCCCATATTAAGGATTCAGCTGTGAGTGTAGTATATCAAGGGTGAAAGGATGAAACTAAGGAAAGACTCATATTTCAGTCACCAGAAGACTTTTCTCTCTGCTTCCTTTGACTTCTAAGCTTACAGACCCAGGAACTAAAAATATCAGTCTGTCCCAGTTTCCCAATTCTTTCCATTTCTCCCCAGTCCAATCCACTCTGAGGGCATTGAGCCAGGAGAGCGAGATTCTAAAATACAGAGAAGCTACTATCAACATTTTTATTGTAAAATTATATTTAAGAGTTACCAGCTAACATGAGTCCTTGATTTAGTGATTATGGAAATTAAAACCAAAGCAACAGTATGGCTACAGGAAAGGACTGTCTCTGCTTGGGACAGTCTGTCATGTGAAATTCTGCTGGAACTTAAGGTAAACCTAGGTTTAGGGGAGTGGGGATGTCTCTGGGAAAAGCTGAATGTCCCTGTAAATCTCTTAACTTGTTGTCCAAAGTCTCAATGAGTCATGATATAGGTTAGGTGAATTGAGCACTAATAAACCTTTTTTTCTTTGTTGCCAACTTTTCCTAAATGATTAACATACCCATAGCCAAAATTTTAAGATAATAAAATACACAAGTGAAGGTTAAGCTTTATTCTACTGTTAGTTACCTATTAAACATCTGTAGGACCAAAACCACTTTTAAATTCCTGGCTGCTTTAGAAGAAAATACAAATTATTCTTTGATGACTAACAGATAAAGGGCCCAGGAGTCTGTCTGCCTTTTGTTCCTCGAGTGGTCTCTCACCATGTCATAAGCACTATAGTTAACATTATTAATTGGCTCTAAATTGATCATTCCTGTTTATTTCACACAGAATCAAGATCTGGCTTGGTACACTATCCCTCAAACTCCACTGCAAGTAGGAGCGGTTATCGGGGTGCAAATTTGAAATTACAGTGAGATGATTTCTCCTCACAAACACTGTCCTCTTTGCTTCCCCTTCATGCTTCCTGCCTGGGACCATCAGGATCAACCAACTTTCAACCCAAATTGCTGTTATTCTATACATGAGGAATGACAACACATGTTCAATCACTATAGTAGGATTTTCTGTTGTTTAGCCACGATCTTCTTAACTGATAGAAGCATCTCTGTTGTTTAGTCTTACACCCCAAAAGATATTTCTCAGAGTCTTTAATATGGTGGTGAGGCAGTCCATTTCCATGACAGCACTATGCCCCCATGATTGTCAGACAAATTAAAATGCAGTTAATTGTTACATAATGTTCCCAGTCTAGTACCATTTGATGATTATGGCAAAACAAAGCCATCAAGATGATTGAGTGTGGACACAGAAACTCCCATAAAAGAGATATAATCATTATCATTAAGCCATTTCTCATCAGAAAAGGGACATTGCTGGTTCAATCATAGTTTATGGTTAGTATCATAGTGGCAGGGCAAGAGAAGAAAGGCAACAGATTAATTACTGGGCTAATTGACTGGCTTTCCAATCCATTTCAATAACACTGCAAATATTGCTTTTATTGATACCAAGTGCAAACTCATTGCTGTCACAGAGCAGGCTCTGCTTTGATGCACCAATGTGGAATCAGGGAGCACACAAGACATTTTGACAAGCATCACAAAACATTCTGGGGTAGAAAAGAAAACATTTGTCTAGCTTCTCACTGAGCGTGGCAACATTTCCATACCTTATTTGCTTCTTCTCAAGAGGGTAGGCAATTTTTACACTGAGTGATAAAAGCGCGTGCTAAAAATGGGACCCATGACTCGCCTCAGCTTCTCACAAATCAATATTTGTTCAAAACCTCCCCACATTTGCAGTGCCTGTGAATCAAGCAATGCCAAAACTGCAGGCAATCTGGCCAAAAAAAA